GATTTAGTTCATTTACTTTTATTTATTTTAATACGCCATGTTAAACAAACTAAAATGATAAATGTTTCCTTCGCAACTAGATGAAACAATTTTTTTGATACATCATTTCATTTCATTGTTTTTTTATGGTATCTTATGAATAATTTTAAATTACTTTTCTAGTCATTTGTATCATTGTTTTTTTTTTACGCATAATTTTATTTGAAGGCATATTTTGTTTTATTTGAAATTATTTTAAGTCATCTAGTGACCCTAGTGGGTCTCTTCTGTTTCCTTTGACCTACCTGAGATCCTTCCAGTGTGGAGCGCTGGTCCGGCAGCTCACACCCGCCCATCACCGTCTGCAGGTCCTGACTCTCAAAGAGTTTGCTCTGCGCTGGGGCGGCTGCTAACGATGGGATGCCCTCCACCCCGCCTTCTCTGGAACAATTGGCTCCATCCTGCCTCTCCTGTCTGTCCGTCAAGGGCGCTGTGACAACCACGCATTCGTAACTCTCCGTCAAGCCGCCTCCGCTATCCACCTTCTCTAAAGTTCTCGAAGCATCCGTCTGCTCCCTGACAGGGTCGCTCTCTCTCGACGCATCCTGACTCGAGGCTTTTCCATCGGACTCAGCCAGAGCGGCCTGGGCTTCTCGGTCCATGAGCACCTCCATCTCCCACTCAGCCTGGTTTTCCAGACAGCGCTCTGAGGCGGGAGGACTGCTGTGGGCCGCAGGGGACCCTGGGAGATCACTGAGGGATGTGCATGTCATCTGATGCTCCACATGATGATCATCGTCTTCCAAGTCACTGAGGGCGTCTGTAAGATTAAGAGGAGATTTGATTCAGTGTTGCATGTTAAATCAAATAGAACACAAAAATGGGGGTTAGCAAGCTGATGAAAAGCTCCAAATTAATGAAGTAATACAAATAATGAATGAGATCAATGTAAAATTAAAATAAATAAACAGAGTTGCACATAAAAATGAAATAAAGTGTTAAAAACTTGAGGGTTTGAAACGTTGAAAGTGAGGAATGTAACAATTTACAACAGTATTTTTGGTTTTTAGTATTTTAGAAAATAATAATAACAATAATAATAATAATAGTATAAAAAAATATATACAAATGTTTAAGATAAATACAATAAAAAACGCTTACTAAAAAGATTAAATATTTTATGTTTACTTGCATACAGTGGTATTTTAGTATCACTGATATACTAT